CCCTAAATCCTCCAGGTCATTGGAACAATGCTAACAAAAATATTTTTTAGAATTTTAAATAGTCTTCTTTCATAATTCTCATCTACAGACAAGGCTGTTCAAAAAAGAAAATGCATTTTAGTGGAAAAATTAATTCAGTAAGCTCTATTCCAAAAACATGGCAAGTAGGATTGTTAAAAATATTATTAACAGAACCACATGGAGTTATTCAACATTTTTTTCACTCTATACTTCTGTCATTTCTCTTCTTCACACAAACAGTGTTTCTTCATCATTAATTTGCAAAGCAAACAGATCTAAAATGTTAGAACCTCTACATATGTTACATTTCTGAATGGCAATAACTCCCCTCAGTGCCTCTGTAACAGATCTCGAAGACTTCTCCATGTGTTACATCTAAAGGATGACCCATACATTTCCCACAACTCTTTAAATAACGCATGGGGCATTTGCAAAGTCTTGCGTTTCTGTCCGGACTCCCTCTTAATTTTGCTCTATTTATCAACATCATGTAACTATTTTCTGGGAAATCCTACCATTTCTTTTCTCTTCTTCCCCCTCTCTCCACATGAATCACATTTTCTGTGAAGGTGGATGTCGCTCACGAGTGACTGTCTCCACTGGCAAGAGAAACTACCCGCAGTGATTAGACTGACTTGTCACATTTGCGAAGGAAGGAAGGAAAACACATGCTCAAACAATGCTCTGATTTATAATCAGCAGCTCTCTTTCTTCAGCTCACCATTTACAAACACTACAGGATTTACTAGCAAATGCTGCTTACGTAAAAATTTTCTGCATACGTCTTGGCCTTCTAGAATAAAACCATGGAAAGAGAAAGCGGAACCGTGTGCGGGACACAGATTCCTCACATGCAGGACTCCGTGGGATATCATTTCCCTCTCTTGTTTCCCTGTTTACCTCCACCCTGTGTGCATTTGCCAGCTTCTATTTCGGTGTGGTTACCTGGGGCCAGAGCCTGCCGCGTAGGCGAGGTGACGGCGATGAACGTGGTTCCCTTACTCCCACACCGCTTCGAAACGTTAGATGAGAAAAAAAACATTCCTGACTCGCTTGCTCCGGCAACGCGCAGAGGAACGCTCTGCTCCGGCTTTTACACCTGCGCGTGTGTTTGCTGAAAGCAGAGGTGGCCAAGCTTTCGTCAGCAGCCATCCCGTTCAGCATCGCTGTACATCAGCGGAGCTGCGAGAGGATCCGATGCCGGAATCTGACGCAGCAGAAGACCCGGGCAAGTTAGGGTCTTCTCCGAATGAGGCATCGGGCTGAGGCTGTGACCGCTCCTTGCCGTGAAAGACTCTTTTCCAAGCACTGTCTTGTTAACCAAGGAGTATTGGCCCCGATCCATTTTGGTAATTGTACGCTGCCTGCTAAAGTTCCCTCGCAGTTTTAATTGGGGAAAAATTAATTCTTCACTTCCTATCTTAAACTACGCACAATTATAACCATATGCTCATGCAGCCGATACATATATATATATAACTACAACTGACTCGATTTCCAAAGGGAACAAAATGACTTCTGTATTTAACTTTGCATGAGGCTCTAAAGCAGTGTGGGATATTTTCGAATGAAGTATGTGTCATAAATTTGAAGGCCACTAGCATATGGGGAAACGGCTTTTGGCATGAAAGTCCACACGTTTATTTTTAAAAAAAAAAAACAGGAAATAAGTTTCACACTGTTAAGTGAAAGGCTTTAAGAAAGCTACTTCTCTTTCAAATTTGTAACTCTCACCGTTTTAACAGAAAGGCTGTTGAAGACTGCCTCAATTTCTTATGAAAAGTGTTTTTGGAAGAGTAGGGAATGTCTCTCAACCCCTGTCAACTGCTACAATCTTTTTTTTTAAACCCTTAGAAAGACTCTAAGAAAGTGGAATTTTTGGCTACAGACTTGCAAAAATTAGGAACAGCTGGAAATGAAGGTATGACAGAAACGTGGACGCAGCTTTTGATTGGGGATTTTGCGCACATGAGCTATAATTATATTTAATAAAACTGACTTTTCAATCCTATGTATTGAAGCAAGCATACACAAACAAACCACAGGCAAAAATCATCTTAGTCCTTCATTTATTTTGTTGTCGGTCCTCAGTTAATCAGCTCTGTATCGCGTCTGTGGTGTTGATGAGCTTGTTGGCTAAGGCTCTGTTATACCGACGTTTTACCCCAAAGCAGGAAAGAAAAAGCTTCAAGTTCTTTAGCACAATAGCATTAGCTGGAATTATCGGCATCCTAATAAGTCCATTAGTGAAGTGCCTGGGGCTGGTAAGTCCAGTTTTCCAGTTGCGATGCTACGAATTAGGGAACTGAAATAGGTCTCCCTATGTACTTTAAAGTTCTTTATTTTAAGAGTTTTTTCCTACAGGAATCCTTACTGTACATAGCTTGAACAGTGGACATCTAATTATCATCAAACTGCAAAGTACTAAAAGACAGGTTCTTCAGAATCTCAACTTACAGCTTTTAATTTTAATTGCGATATTATCACCAATTAGTCCATCACACGGACTAATCGTGACTTATCTGGCCCTGCTACCGACTTAGCCGTTTCTGCACCAAATCCAGTGATAAATTTAGCGGCTTGTAACTTAGTCATATTTGGCTACAACCTAATCATATTTAGGTAGATTTTCACATAAATAGCAAAATGTTCATTTTCCTTGCTTCACTGGCAGAAGACAAGACTGATCTGAAAATCTAAGTCCAGACTGCTGGAGTTTTACGGATTCCTGAGCAAATGGACAGTTATGGGTATAACTATAGTATTGCTACTAGCTCTACTTATACTGATTAAAGACACAGCTTACAAAGTATCTGTTGGTCTGTTCACTATCTCCATCGAAATTTAAATTTAGCAAATTTGTTGGATTTTAGCATGAGTGATACAAAGCAGTGTTTATCATCTCAAACTGTGGAAGTATCCTCAGTTATGGATTAATATCTACATAAAAGCATTTAAAAATAAAGCATCTGTTCTATATGATATACTCTCCATCAAGCTCAAGAAAAAATATATATACTATGGCAATAAAGGCAGAAACATTTTTTAGTATGCCATTATATTATCATAAACTTGAAAGTAAGGTCTGTATGTCATCAATGCACTAAACAATTACAAGCTTAGACTACTTGCCTTTCACCCATTGCATTAGTCTTGTAATGGACTGTTCCACAACCATTCAAACAAACTTTTCAAAGGGTAAAACAAAGCACTGTGAAACAACACTAGTGTCTATACCCAAACCTGCCATCTTCCTGTCTTCCAAAGTCTGTTCATAGCCTTCACTTGACTGACTTCAGTCTTGCTTCAGCTACTGTCCACTGCTCATCCCCCTCAAACAGGACTCACAGTGACATCTACTGGGTCAAATTCAGACTCGTAATTGCCTGTGCTCCTCAGAAACGAGCGAAAAAAACCAGAGTTTTTGACTTTTATTTGTAAGAGTGTGGAAAGTAACAGAGTAAAACTAACCAAAAAAGTAAGAGTAACCTCTGTTTAAAGAGACTGTTTACACCTAAGCCTTCCTGACTAACCTGTACATTGTAAATCAACCCTAGCACCAGGCAGTCTAATCCCAGGTTGTAGATGTAGGACTCCAGCATGCTTAATGTACACCCAGTTGAAGACTAGACATTGCTATTAGGAAAAAAAAAAAAAATTTCTTGTAAGCTATATAGAACCAGTCTTCCATTCTATTTGCAAAAGAAGGATGTTATTGCAAGGATTTTCATTTATTTTCACTCCTTAGATGTAGGTGCAGTGAAAACACAGGCTGAGTCATGATTAAGCTAATGAAGAGCAATGGAATCTCACTTAAGATCTACTATAAGTAATACATAGCTAATTAACTTAGATTCATTATCATCTTTGTAAGGGTTTATTTAATACTGCAGAAAATGAAAGTGTTTTTTTAAATATATATATGTGTGTGCATATATATACATATATATACATATAAATACATACCTGAAACTTACAATTAGGTCTTTTCACTAGCAAAGTAATGAATATTTTGGGATAAAATTTCTCCACAGAGATCATTTAAATAAGCTCTGCCCATCTACTGATTTCATTATTAAATAACTATCTTGTGCAAGTTTTCTCAGGCATACCATACATTCATACATTAGCTTACATATGAAATATTACGGGCTTGAAGTTCATAATTGTTTTAATTTGGAGACAAATTACTGTTGTTTTTAAGGCTGCACAGCAAAATGTTGGGTCAACATGGCCAAAGAGGATATCCCCAGTTGCAGTCTGTCACACTAAACAGTTCACCTCGTCTGACAATTTAATTCAGATATTAACATTCCTTACATTGTAACCCTGTATTTTGGTGACAAGAACATTCCACAGAGCAGAAGATGAAAGATAAATGGATGAGGGAATGGTTTTGAATACAAAAAGCCAGGCCAGAAAGTATTTACTAATACCCAAATGATGACAAGTCCAAATACAAAGAATGCTATGTTAAAAGCTCTGATCACATACAGGCTCAGACAGCTAGAGAGCATCTCTTTCTTTTTTTCCCTAGACGCTACAGCACAACAAAATTTCAGCTTCTCCGATTACTGGAAAAACAGGACTGTGCACAATTTTGCACTCCATATTCCATCTGCACGCACTACCGATCTGGACTGCTCTCGAGTCAAAGCTGACTTCGCACATGCATCCAAAAATTTATATATGCAAATAATCCTGATTGTCTATGCTTCAAAAAAACAATGTAAAAATAGAACTAGTAAATTCCTTAGTAAAGAAAAGGTTAGTGCCGTTGTTAAATTTCCGGATAATACACTAATTCGAAGTCAGGAGGCAGACATACAGCTTAGCTATTTTAAGCAAAGGTGCAGACGTGTTATTGCCATAATAATAATCAGTATTCCAAATGTTCGGATAACAAAAGAGACAGACACATTCTACGGGTCAGGAAACACAAGGCCAATCTCACACGGCCTCCGGGAAGAAGAAATTTTTTTTCTGAGCTCATAATTATTTCTTATCAGATTTTCTGTACCTTCGTCTATAGCATCTCGCATTGCCTTCCAACTGAGGAAAGAGATGGGATCGGGCAGACCCTTCTCTAAGAGAGAGATCACTTTTAACAACCCCGCTACTCCTGAAGTAAAACCCATATACATTTAAAGACGTCATTTTTTAAAGCACTAAAAGGACACGTGACACAAACCCGACAGCAACGTGTGTCGGGCCAAAGACGTGACGCCACGAGTGCAGATCAATACTCAAGACCCATCACGTGGGTGACGTACTGCTGGCAGGGCTGTCCCTAGAGCCCCGACCTGGCACGAGGGGTGCTGGCCCCAATGCCACCTTCACTGTGCTGCCCTGCAGAAAGGACAGCCAAAGAGGTGGTCGAAGTCACTTTGTTAACTGAGACTGCCTAGACACCTCAAAAAAAAAACCCGAACAGCATTCGGAGAGGGCAACAGAATCACCTACATTTAAAAAAGCAAATATGCAAATACTTCACACCTTTTTTTTCTCCCCTCCTGACCCTCTGCCTTAAAAAAGGGCCAACAAGCAAGTTTCTGAATTATCATGAGAAGTACCTTCAAGTGTGGCTAGGTGAGCTGAGAGATGAAATCACGCTTTTAAAGTGTACAGTCACTGAATTTGCATGGATAATTGTAAATGCCCTGTGTTATACAGCAACTGGAGAGGCTAGACTGGTTTGGCTGCAGAAAACGGGTGTTTATCACTGGCTTAATTATGCTTCTTCTTGGATGAGACTTTTGTGCTGAGCTTTGTGATGCACAGTGGGTTTTGTTATGGGTACCTGAGCCAGACAGTTTAGAAAAGGCAGGGATTTTATCACCAAGTTGCTTTTTGTTTTGGGTTTCTTCCTTAAAGGAAGAGATGCTACCTGCTCTATTCTGAAAAATAAATTAAGTAAAACGCCCCTAAACCATTGTGGTCTTAAAATTAAATATCTGGAAGAATTTAATGGATTATGTAGCAAATCCTGTTGAATGTTTGTCTTGCTTTTTTTCCAAGAGAGTATTTATTTTATTAAGTAATTACTGTGCTGAAACAAAGAACATATTTCAGGGAATATATAATATATTTAGACTATGGTTACACACACCTGTACATGGTATGTAGTAAAAAGAGAGTCACTCTCTCTCCCTCTCAATTAAATAGTCTTAAAGACCAAAAAAAGCATCTTCCAACAAATGTTTGAAACGGCTTACTGGGTGTTACTGATAATTCTGTTAACGTTTGAAACATTTCCCATTACACGATGACCACAAATGCAGTTTTTAATGTATGCAATTGGGCATATCGACTTATCAATCAATAAAATGTTTTCAGTTCCTAGTAAATGGAAATACCTGTTCAGCTGTAGTTCATAAAACTAAATAAAACGTCGAAAGCTACAGAACACGGCTTAAAAAAGTCACGATGATCTTTCTGTCATGCAAAGGCTAAAAATGTTCATGAAAACTGTTCCTCTGTGAGGAAGGGAGAGTAATTTGCGCTGCCACGTATCTTCTGTGTTATTTATTTGGTACCTCGAATTGCAAAGGGAGACATGTTTTTAGCCTACCAAAAAGGAATATATCGAAGAATGCCAAAAAAGGGAAGATGCAGGTTTCTTAGTACCTAGCGCACTACTGAATCATACCAGCTGAGTCATATTCCCAGCATTATTTAGAATTAGATTCAAGCTGATCCGCTTATTCCGCTCGCGGTTGTCACAGGGGAGCAAGTGCACTCATCTTTCTTGCCCTTTACTGTTTAAATAAAGATCCCCACTGCTTTCTTTTCTCAAAACCTCATCTGCAATCTAATAAACTATTCCACTCAAAGAAGAAAAATATGACCAGGCAAGGCAACAGGACTCATCTCCCTGCTGAGAAACGCGAGGGAAGAGAAAACGCACTGAGACATGCTGAGACCCGAAACAGAGTCGTAATGCACAGTCCTGTTCTGCATCTCACCACGTCTGGTGCAGCTACATCTTTCTCATCATGCTGAGCAAAACTTGTTTGAGCCCGGTTTGGCCCTCTTTGACCATTCTCAATCTCTTCTCCTCTTCAGCAGAGCTGTCGCGGGATGTGGGAAGTGCAGAATTCAAATTACCAGCAAATACATTCGTTTTGATAACACTCTCATTGCTAATGGAGAAATAGAACAGGTCGAGACGAAGCCATGTCCATAGTTTCTAAATGATCTCCATCTGCTGATTTATGCCCAATCGTTTGTCACGAAGGACACAACTCTACACTGGAAGGTGATCAGCCTCCTTGCAAAGCACTTGGCAACCTATTTGCGATTCGGGTGGCATGTTACTGATGTAATTTTTATGAAACGTGCACCTCAAAACTTTGACAATTTCATGCACAACTATTTTCCAAGAAATACTGCATTTGACTGCATTTTTTTCTAGGCAAACAGCTGTTTTTCTGGTATTTTCAGTCTTGTCATATTTATCTGTGAAACTGATAAAGTTAAGCTGCATAACATTTTGTGAAAAATTCAGCAGCAATTTATCTTTAGCATATGCTTGTCATTTCTTTTGGTGAAGGTTTTTCCAGTATTTCTTATTCCCTTGGACTAGCTTCTAGGATTTTTATCTCCATATCTTTTTCCTGCACAAGAATTTAAAAGCTTTGGAAAAGAAAGGGTAAGAAACTGAGATGACGAAATAAATACTAAAATGCAGTAAAGAAAGAAGATTTTAATTTCTTACCAAATTCTTCTTCTCCATCCTGGTCATCTATTAAGCCTACTGAGACTCCCAAATCCATGCATTTCTTGCTATGTGCCTTTGATTTCATATGTTTTGTTAAATTCCCTTAAGAAAAAATGAGAAAAAAGTTAACTGCTCTGTGACTACACAAACGTATACAAATATACACTCAACATGTCAGTATCTTATTCAGCTACATTTATAACCACCTGTATAATTTGATTCACACTTCACAGATTCACCATCCTGGATGCTACTCGCTCTCTGGCTACGTTTCATGAAGTTCTTTGTGGAGGTAAAATGGAATAGGATGTAAATCCTAGATGATGATGTATTTTCCTTTGGTGTAAAAGAGTCCTCATCTGTTTATAGCGAAGTGTAAAAAAGGTTGATTCAGTCTTCAAAGTCACGTTGATGGAAAACTACTATGTGAAACTAAAGTTCATATTTTGCAGCTCTTTTAGTATTTGATGGATTCTATTTTTAGTGTAATCATTTTCACTGCCAACCTAAACAAACAGATTAATTTCATTCCGAATCAGAGTGTGAACATATTTGATCTGAATCTCAAAAGTGAATATGTAACTGCTAAGAGGCCCCACAGGCTGCTCTCCCCTTCTCCTTTGAAAAAAAACCATGGCAAATATCCTCAAGAAAAGGTTAAGAGTAGATCAGGGATCTGTAAGTGACGATATTTGTGACATGTATATTAGTACAAGTAACTGCTCACTTACTTAAATTTCCTACTGTCTCTCAAAAACCTGTTTCTTTGAGGCATTCAAATGGAAGAAATTACAGTGGGTGAAATGGTGACTCTTTTATGTTTATGGAGCACTTTATTCCTGCTTCGAAACGAAGCTAGGAATTCACCCCAAAGTTTGAAATAATTGCCATGAAGCTGTATGACCATACTGACTCACAAACGGCAAATTTCCCAGCGTTACGTACTGCACGACGTTACTGGCTACACTGTCCCTTCATGAAGGCTGGTTTACCGGTCATGGTTTAATGTGGAGGGAGTGGGGGTTCTGGTGGCAGGAGAGGGATTTTGCTCCCTGTGACCTCCCCGGTTTTGGAACTGGGTTAGATTTGGTTCTGGCCACCAGATCAGACTGCCATCCCCCTCGGGGTTGAGCCAATAGGGCACCTCTGCGAATTGCCCTATTTAAGTCGGGACAAAGGAACCGGGAAAGGTGCTTTGCCCAGGAGCGAGGAGAGAAGGGAGGAGGGCACTGCACCCGCTCCCTGGCTCCCGGCAGGGGAGCGTCCTG